AAATTGGCAAGAGGCCATAGCGGATGGTAGTCAGGAGATGCACCAATGGCAGAGGAGAGAGGAGCAGATAGGGAGTGTTGTGTTGAGGCTTTTTGCAGTGTTCAATGAAAGCTTAATGAATTATCAATGTCGTAGAAGACAGGTCATTTAGGATGAGTTTGGTCATCAGTACTCTGAGGGTTAAGTTCTCAGTGAAAGTTGCTTAGTGCTCAGATCTTCTGAATATCTGCTTGTGTTAGATAGGTACCTAAAATGGAGCTGAGATTTGCCTCAAATGCAGCCCCATTCCTGGGTTCTAATCACTTTTGAAACAATGGCCCTAAAATGTTAAAGATACTTATATTTTTATTAATCATTGGCATTTATAAATAATGGGTTCAATTAAATATTCAATATAAATTGTTCATGTAAAAGTCATATGTTATAACAATGAGAAGTCCTGTGGCACCTTACAGATTTATCGGAGCATAAGCTTTCATGGGCAAAGACCCACACCTCCATATCAGCTGCTAGAAGTGGGCCTCATCCTCCCTAACTGAATTACCTCATTATCTCTAGCCTTACTCTTGATTGGAACTCCTTTCATATGCCTGTATATTTATACCTGCCTCTGGAATTTCCACTACATGCATCTGACAAAGAGGGCCTTTGCCCACGAAAGCTTATGCTCCAATAAATTTTAGTCTATAAGGTGCCATGGGACTTCTCATTGTTTATGCAGATTCAGATTAACATGGCTGTCATTCTGATATATGTTATAAGATTGTTCCACTATGTCAGAAATAAATATATTATTGACTATTCCAAGGTCTGTTCATACTACATTCAACTTGGTGGGAATGTTTTCATATTAAATGAAATGATTCACAAGTATATTTATTAGATGAGCTAAGAATGGCTTTTTTATGATACTCAAGATCTGTGGGACTAATTAGAGGCTTCTTCTATTTTCCTTGACTGAATCATTTGCTAGAGACGATACACTGTCTCTAATAAAAAACATTCATAAAAAGTTTTAAAAACCTGATATTATTAAGGGGGGGGAAACCTCAAAAGTTTGATTTAAGAAAGCATTAAAATATTCAATTCATTTTCTCCAAAGTCCAGACAATGGGCCATTAGAGAGGCTGGGTTTAGCAGCATAACAAGCAAATATGCAGAAATTAACAGAGGCAGATCTGAATCTTAAAAAATCTGGTTCAAGCCTGGTGCTCCAGACAAATATTTATATCCATCCTTATGTAGAACTAGGTTTTTCCTTTTATTGTAGAGGTCAGTAGTGTTGCTACAATATGTAACTACCCCCTCTCCAGTGTAGTGGAAATTAATAAAGTGGAGTCAGAATGTAATGTAACTGTAAATGGCTTTTATATACTTAATATTTGAAGTGAGTTGGTGGTCAAATGGTACTCAGGATAATCCATTCTAGGAACCTCAGCCCAGCACCATAGCCCTGTTCCCAGGAAGCAACTATGCCTGGAGAATTGACTGTCATCACAGTTCAAGGGAGAGAATAAATTCTCTCGCTCCTTACACAGCACCCTGTCTCCTGAAGCTGCCTCTTCACAAAACCTGGCACAGCCCCAAAATGATGACAATAGACCATGTCTTCCTAAGAGTCAAAGCTTGCTCACACTCTTAAAAAACAATTTTTGAAGCTTTGAAGACTATGTAACAGTACCATCTAGTGATGCCTACTATATTTGATACTAGCAGATTTAGCTAGTATTGCCTGGGTCCTTCAGAGCAGGGGTCTCGTGGGGTAGAGGATGCAAGACTCTGGGCAGGGCCTTAGGGATATATGAATGGGAGGTGCAATAGTGAGGGCTGAGGGGTAAGGAGGGGCTCAGGGTGGGAGGTCCCTCCCAGCACAGCCCTATTCTCTCCTCCCCAGCCCCCACACCCAGCTCACAGGATACCTTTTCTCTTGCCCCACAGCCCCTCCTGGCTGCCAGGGACCTTTCTCCCCCTGCAATCCCCTAAGACACCTCCCCAACCACAAGGGGCTCTTTTTTTGCCCCCATTCCCACCTGCCAGAGGCTCTTTTCTCTCCCCCGCTGCCCTCTCCTCCCCCCCTCCTTCCAATTACATTACTATCTTTAGCACATTAATAAGAGATTATAAAAAAAATCTGATATTTAGAATAATTTCCACTGATAACGGGATCATCTTTCTGTTTGGAGTTCACTACTGTTTGGAGTTCATTACAAATCTTTCCTTGTTCTTTCCCCCTTTCCTTCTATTTTTCCCTTTTGCTCTTTTCATCCTGTTGGTACATATAGTATATCAGATACATTTGTTGTACTACATTGAACCATTTATTTTCTTTTGTTTTAAATATTTGTATTTGTTTCTCATTTTTTTGAACAAATTAAGTAATTTTCTTTCTTGTTAGTATTCTAAATAGCCAGCTAGTTTCCTCTTGAAGTGCTTGATAATGAGGAGTGTGAGGTCTGCTGTATCTGAAAGGTATGAACAAGCAGAGCTCTGTTTCATTCACAGAACAGCTAATACTGAAACATTCACAATATGGTACTTAAACTACAAGCTGTCCTCAAATATGGAAAATTATTATATACCCTCCAAATGGCCAAATTGCTATGTGTGGATGCTGCATTAATTAAAATAATCCAAACATTAGCTGGTGGAAAATACATTTGCCTGTAAAATATCTCTGCTTAAATAAACCTTTTGAAAGCCAGAGCAATGTAACCTCATACCCTGGACAGTTTTATAGCAGCTTTGAAATGATGCTAGAATAGTCACATAACACATCCTTCTATAACCCCCAGCATTTTTAGTATCTTTCAATGATAATCAAGTCACAGAAGCTGAAATGACCAATTTAGACCCTAGAATGGAGTCAGTCTATTACCATATCTATTACTGTTACTGTGAAGTTTGGAGCAGCCATGCTGTGTGGCATAATAACAGCCTTAAAGCCCTAAGTGACCACAACTTCGTTACATTACTGCATATTCAATTATGGTACTCTTGTATTATTGTTTAACAATTCAAAAGCAGTAAATAGAATGATTTTATTTTAGGAGGGATTTTATTTAGTTGCTTTCCTGTCACAGAAGTTAGTCCTCTCTGGAAACTGGTGGAGGATAGAAGATTTACAATGTGGAGGATGGAATTAGATTGTCAGGTGAATATTTTTAGGGTTATGGATGCAGTTTCAGATGGTAAATGTGTGTGTGTAAAGCACAAAAATTTAATGATTAAAACATTTCAGTTTTATTACGAAGAAAAAACTGCATGAAACATTAATGAGGATTTTACTTTTGAAAAGCTTAATAAGTAAAATGTGGATGTGGCCTCATTTCATTTAAATTGAAAATATCATTTACAGCACATTACTAGGAGGAATTTTTCTTGTGCAGAAGTTATGTAAAACCAAGTTCTATAGTACTGCTGTAGCTTGGATAAAACCAATGAATGGAACTCACTGAAGTCCATAGAATTGTTCACATGCTTTGAAGCCCACACTTAAGTGTTTTGGTTAACTAGAATCTTAACCAGGGCCATCTCTGTTCAGAATAAATTTCAGTTCAGAGTAGAATAAAAGTCTCTTGATATGAGAATAACAGGGTCAGTTTGTCTAACAATATTATGTGAAAATATACAGTAATATAGGAAAATGTAAGGTGACAGCAGGGGTGGGCAATAATTTTAGAAGGGGGGCCACTTCACAATTTTTTGAAGTGGCCCTGAGTCATCCCAGAAGCAGTGGGGCCTTGGGCAGAAGGGGTGGGGCCAGGACACTTCCATGCTCCCCTGCCCACAGACCCTGATTGGCCAATTCTGAACAGCTAGCAGTTCCCTATTGGCACTGCACACTCCTGGCCTCAGGAGGAGACAGTGCACAGCCCCTTCTCCCAGGCCAACCAGGGCCTGGTGGCAGGGATCACACACAGTCTCTTGCTTCCTTCCCCTCCCCCCCCCCCCCCACTCTGCAAGCAGTGCACAGCGCTTAGAGTGAACCGCCAGCTGTTCTGAACAGCTGACAGTTCGCTCTAAGCGCTGCATGTCCCTTGCAGGGTGAGAGGAGACTTCAAGCACTCCTCCACCCCCAGACCCTGATTGGCGAGGGGATGGGGGAAACACATGAAGTCTCTTGCCCTTTGCCCCTGCTCTGCAATGGGGCGTGCAGTGCCTAGAGGGAACTGCCAGCTGTTTTAAACAGCTGGTGGCTCACTCTAGGCACCGCGCACCGTCGGTGTGAAGAGGAGACTTTGCATTCTTCTCCATCCCCAGGTCTTGATTGGCTGGAGGGCGTACACAGGCCAGATCAACCCACTTGGCGGGCTGAATCCAGCCCACAGAGACTCTCTTGCCCACCCTGGGTTACAGACTTTATGCCAAGTAGGGTAAATATACACAGGACGGGGCATGTTCAGTTGAAAAGCTGCAGGGTGTTTGCATCTCCTTGCAAAGACTTCTTTACTTAATTTGTATCTTACAGGAGTCCAGTAACATCTATTTAAAATTGAGTTTTGACTAAATGGTCACTAGTGAATGGTGTAGCTGTTTATTTTCCAATGAAACAAATTGATTTCCAGAGAGGTATCTTTTACAAAACAAAACAAAACAAAACCAACTACCTATTCTCTTACAGTAGCTGCAGCCTAGAGATTGTATCATCTATCTAATGCATAAGAAGTGGAATTTGAGATTGATGTGAACCCTTTGAGCCTGTTTAACTATTCTTAGTGCATACAATAAAAACAGAGAACAAATAGCAAAAAGCAAATTAGATTTTGAAAGTTTCCTATTGTATTATACAGGGTAGTATCGACACAGATATAAATGTGACTATAGTGTGACAGTGTCCTTTACATTGCAGTGGAATATCTATTCATTTAGAATGTATGTGCTGCTTCCCAGCTGTGTGTTAGTAACACCACTTACATGTTAGACAGTTCTATCCAGCTGTGTGGCACTGTGGACCTTCTGTCACCTTTGATGCATCTAATCCTCCAGTCTTTTCTTTGCAGATGGGAATCCGTATACCTGGTGGGTTGGAAAAGCCAATGAGAAGCACTACTATTGGGGTGGCTCTGGACCTGGCATTCAGAAGTGTGCCTGTGGCATTGAACGCAATTGTACTGATCCCAAATACTACTGCAACTGTGATGCTGATTCTAAACAATGGTAAGTGAGTTGTTAAAAATATTACCAAAATTCTGGCTAGTCATTGTTTTATGTACTTCCCACATATTTCTTAAATGTTTTTTGTGAATTCTGAGGACTTGTCCATACTACTGCATGTTGTCAACCTAAGTTACGCAACTTCATCTAGATGTATACTATAACTGAAGTTGATGTACTTACTTCTGCTTACCAAGGTATCTTCACCTTAGTAAGTCAACAGCTGATGTTCTCCCGTTGACTCCACTTATTCTTCTGGTTTTGGTGGAGTTCTGGAGTCCTTGGAAAGGTGCTTGGTGGTCAATTTATCACATCTATACTATACTAGATGGGATAAATTGACCCCCACTAGACGAATTGCTGCCCATCAATCCAGCCCATAATGAAGACATGGCCTGCTACTCTTAAAATTGCTTCATTTTGTTAACTCATGCTTTAATATGCTGGACATAAATAGCTTCAAGTCACTTCAAGGCTGCTTCCCTACTACAGGTATTTGGTTTTTTCCTAACAATTTGTCCCTGTCAGTCAGAAGGAGACCTAGGATGGCTTCTTCTATAGTTAGAGTCTTTATTTTATGCATCATAAAGTTCTGTAATTTAGGAAACTTTTATGATGTACATTTGGCTGTATTTGTTATCCAATGGCCATGTGGTTAATGACACACTGAGATTCCACATGATATGGTAACACAATGCAATGCAAGGAGGAGAATTGCCAACCTCTCTTAATAACTTTTATATTTATTGGCATTTCCGTGAGGGTTTTTTAATATATATATGTGTCTGTAAAATATAAAAGCAGATCATTGTGTGATCATCAGTATTCCATATCTTACTTATTAGTATGGCTACAATTATGTCATGGAGGTCACAGAATCATAGATTATATGACTTCCAGTGACCTCTGCAATATTTTCTGTCCTGCGGATGGAGCTGTCAACAGGTAGCCCTGCAGTTCTCAGCCGTTGCTGGAGCTGGGCCCAGAGCAACTCCTAGCCTGGGGTGGGCAATCATTTTTGGCCAGGAGCCACTTCAGATTTTCATGGTGCATGGTGCTTAGAGTCAACCAGGGTTGACTCTAAGCACTGCGTGCTCCCCCATTCCTAGACCCTGATTGGCCTGGGGGTAGGGGAGTGGCAGAACTTCCATGGGCCAGATCAGCCTGCTTGGTGGGCCAGATCAGGCCTGCAAAGGCCCTTTTGCCCACCCCTGTCCTAGCCACTGAGCAGCAGATGGACCCTGGAGCTCCCAAAAGCCATGGACAACAGGAACCCTCTCCCCTGCAGGTGCTCAGCTGGTCTCTGAGGCAGAGCAGCTGTGGAGCTTTCTGTAGCTGGGAAGGGTGCCTGGAAGGGGGGCTGATCTCCCCCTGAGAACAGCCATGTGGGGAAGAGGAATTTCTGTCCTTCCCCAGCTTGGTGGCATAATTTCTGGAGCTTAGTAAATGGTAGGAGCCCCTAGCTAGGGAACCCCCATCTCTCCCATAACTAGATTTCATAGGAGAGCTCTGATTTCAAGGTCCTTGGTGTGTGTTTCATGCCTATGAACTTGATAGGGCCCTGTGTGTAGCTGAGAACAGCCATGTGGGGAAGAGGAATTTCTGTCCTTCCCCAGCTTGGTGGCATAATTTCTGGAGCTTAGTAAATGGTAGGAGCCCCTAGCTAGGGAACCCCCATCTCTCCCATAACTAGATTTCATAGGAGAGCTCTGATTTCAAGGTCCTTGGTGTGTGTTTCATGCCTATGAACTTGATAGGGCCCTGTGTGTAGTACTAAGAGAACACATCAGAATTCTGTAGTGAATAATTGTTCCTCTGTAGGAAGAACAATTGTCGGGAAAGTCCTCCTTAGCTTCAGTATATATTATTATTTAGAAAAACAACATGTGTTTCCCTAACCTTGTACTGGAAGCAGCTAAACTGTTTTTATTGACTCTTTCAAATAGGAAGAGTTGGAAGTAACATTTGACATAACACGTTTTAATTCAATCTGTTTTCAGATTTTTTCAAACCTCTTCCCATTGTTATGTTTTTATAGTGATACTTCACCATTTAGGAAGCATGAATCTAACCTAAGGAACTTTTTCCTCTGTTTTTATTTATAGTTAAGGAGCTTTGTTGAGTATAATTGCTTTTCTTTTTTCATGTATTGGAATATTCAGTGATCAATAAGATTCTTACTTTTATTAGCATATTTTACATTGTTAGCCACTTGTTGATATTTGAATCAGTAGTTTAATTTAGTAATGTATCAGACTATTCATGAATGGTGCTAACAGAACAGATCAGAGTTCTATAGTGAGTAATTGTTCCTCTGTAGGAAAAACAATTGTTGGGAAACTCCCCTTTAGCTTCAGAATATATTATCATTAGCAAAACAACATGTGTTTCCCTAGCTTTGTTCTGGAAGTAGCTTAACTGTTTTGATGTGACACGACATCAGGGTTAAATATAAGGAATGAAGTATAAAAATACATTTTGGAAATGATAGAGGAATATTTGTAGAATATGCAAGAATAATATTTTAGAATGGGGAAAATCAAAGGAAAACTGTTACATAGCAAGCTTAGGAAATGCTAGGATAATATGGTGTGAGGCATGTTATAGGATGAGCAATAGAGCACTACTGAGATAAAGAAAGAGAAGTCAATACGAGACAGAGATAGTAGTCAGACATGATGCAGAGCCGAGGAGATAGAGAGGAGGGAAGAGAAATAACAAGTCATGCAGGAGACGCTGACTGGAACATCAGCTACATATTTCAATGTAGTAGCAGAGCTATAGTAATGACACAAGAAAGATATTGTCATAATAAGGAAAATGATGGAATTTCGGACATCTGTGCTTTTTCTTTGCTTGAGGCAATGACAGTGTGTCCATGTATAGCAGTTTCCATGTACTGTATGGTATATTAACTAATGTATCATTTGCTTTGATGGAAATGTGCAGGGAAAATAACTGACTAGTGGCCCTCACTTGTTCCCTCCTTTCCTCATCTCCAGTGAGAGTTGGAGTTTTTGGCATACAGTAATTCCTCATTTAACACTTGCTTGCTTAACACGTTTTCACGATAGCATGATTTTTTTTACACAACCGTCCTTGGAATAACACGATTTCCCCAGCCAGTCCATTGCCAGTGGCTGTGCAGGGCTTCTCCCACCTCCCTGCAAAGCGGCGGAGAGTTCACCACTTGCCGCGCCATTCCCTGCTGACTCTCCCTCGCCTGACGCCTTCCCTCCTCTCCTCTACCCCCACTTGCAAGCTGGCAGCTGAGTATCCCCAGCTGGCCTGTTGCCAGCAGCTGTGCGGGCCTTCCTCCACCTCCCTGCAAAGCAGCGGAGGGTTTGCCGTGCCGTTCCCCAGCGACCCCGCTTCACTGAACTCAGTGCAGATTCTGGCAGACCCATCACAGGGGCATACTCCCAACCCAATCTCCCTCCCCTGTCCTCCCGTTCCCTTCCCCAGAGCCAAACCCTTCCCCTCCCTGCTGTAAATCAGTCTCCTTTCTCCCCCAACCTTATGTCCCGGTCCCAATGGACACCACCACTTGAAACACAACCCCCAACTTTTCCATTATTTTCAATGGAAAAATTGGCTCCACACAACACGTTTTCACTTAGCACAATCATTTTCTGAAACCTATCTATAGTGTTAAATGAGGAATTACTGTATTTCAGAAGGGAGCTCCCACGAAATATGCCATGGATTGGTTTTTGTTCATTTTGGGTGGTGGGTTTTGTTCATTTTGTTTCCTATATGTAACAAATTATATTTACTTATTGCCATAGCCAAAAAACAGAGACAATGCCATTTGACAAGCAAGCTGCACTTTACTGGAAGCAGTTACAGTTATTCTATGCTATGGGAACTATTCCAAGTACCTATTACTGCGGAATCATGCTGGGCAATCAGAAGCAGGGATGAAGTTTCTGGAGGTGAGATTTGAGCCAGTGTCCTCTAGACTGTTTTAGGCACATCTCTTGGTGCCATCTAATTAATGCCAAAGTCAAAACATTTGCTTTTCAGAAGTATTTTTGAGCCTCTGAGATGAGGCTTGGGGTGAGTCATCTCCAACCAGGGTGATTTAGTAGTATCATGAGACCAACCCAACCTCCCATTCAATGTAGCGGTGACAGAATGGTATCAGGGGTCCCCCAGTGCATCATTGCTCCACTCTCGGCTCCAGGCAGCAAAGCAGTTTCCTCAGCTGGGACTTTCCTATCTCGATGTCTGCAGCAACAATTTTATTGCTGTGTCTACTGCGGAGCTTCCTAGGTGATGCTGGGCAAGTTACCTCAACCAAACTTGTTCCAAGAGGTCAATAAGCATGTGTTCTTCCTTTTCTGGATGCCCAATGTAAGACATGGGGGATCTGATTCAAAGTCTCTCAGTTATGTATGCAGTCAATGGGAATTTTGCTTTGAACATATAATCTGTTATATGATGCTAAGCACTCTGAAAAATTAGCTCCTAGGTGTGTCAACTGGACATCCAACATGAGTAGACACTTTTTACCTTAATTTCTCTGTTCCCAAATTGTAAGATGGGCACATCACCTTCTAACCTTACACAGGTGTTGTGAACATAAATTAATTCATGTGTGTGAAGCACTCATGAATTAATTTATCATAGTGATGAGCATCATAGAATAGCCCATGAGGAAGTTAAGTATTCTGTATTCAGAGCAGGAGTTGAATAGTATACAGTAAATAAGGCCTCTTAATAATGAAGTTTAAACAAAATATTCAGTAGCTTTTTACTGAAGGAACATAATCCATCCTGTGCACTGAATTGGGCAAAGGTCCTGGGAGGGGCATTGGAGTATGTAACGATGCAATTAAAGACTGTATCATAGAACATATATAAAAGTGGGCTAAACTGAGGTTACTCAGTCACTGACGTGTAGGTGCTTAACTTTGAAAACTTAATATTCTTTTTAATGTAGTAATTTTTGTGTAATATTAAATAGTGTGGGGTCTTTGATGTACCATACTTTCTGTACA